GCATCCAGGCACGCACGGTTCCGTTAGTTCCATTGCTTCAGTTGAATTTTGCCAGCTCTCCAGCCACCTCGCACAAAAGAGAGCTTTCCAAAATGCAAATATCCGTTTAATTAGTGGTTTTAACACATTACTAGCTGCGAAATATTAGTGTAAAAAATTTTAAATAATTGTGTAAATCGTGTTACTAACTTCAGTTTAGTTTTGCACCCAATTTGATCAATTAAAAGAAAAGAAACAATTGGAGAACGTTTCTCTCCTGCTTTCTTTAATTTTCCGTATTCCTTTTTTGTTCTTGTTTTTTTCGGATAACGCATGAATCATTTAGCGTGCTGGAATACAAAAACAAATAGCTGCAAAGTGTACAAAAGAAAAGTTTTGTTTGTGCTTTTTTTATTTGGCTGAAACAACAACGAAAAAACTCGCCTCCTTTTCGCTGCCTTTGCGTCAGCATGTGCCCATTTTCCAGCCCAAGCTCTCCACTCTCCACCCCGTCTCGTCGCTCTCGCTTGTTTATGGCCACTTGTAAGACTTGTAGAATGGAGAAAGAAAAATAATATGGTAGAGAGTTGCAAGCAACGGAACTCTTAATCGTATAGATATAAATCTATATAGCAATATTGTGCATGCCATAAACCGCAGAAAACAACTGCTGATGTTCCCGCCGAACAAAAGGCGACAAAAACTGCAGAAATTGCGATGATAACTTATTGATTTTTTCGCCACACATGTTCGTTCGTGTTTGGAATTACGAATTTTGGTTAATGAAAAATAAAGAGTCTTGTACAAGCTCCTTAATTACGCACTCTGAAAGCTGCAACCAGTTAGAGCTTTTCCACTCGTTACATTTACGCTCTTCGCTCTTTGCTCTATCTTCTAGTTTTCAAGTTTTCCTAGGCAAAGACAACAAAATTTCCCGCACTTTCCAGCGAGTAACGAATTTCCTTTCGCTCTTTCGGACACGCGAATTTTTCAGTTTACAACTGGTCTTTCCCCTTGGCGGACAAATCGCGAATCCTTGAGCCAGCACCTTTTTTTCGCGTTGATCAAAACAAAATGCGCAGATAAAAACAAAACTGATGTTGGTGACATAATATATTTACATACATACATATGTATGTATGCAGTTAAGTATTTCGCTAAACTAATACGAAAAATATTGAATTAAATTAGGCAAAGACCTCAACTAGAAAATCAAAAGGAAGTGCTTAATAAGTGCCATCACTAAAATAAATATAAGCCATAAAAACTGAAGTTAAAGTAAAGTGCTCCAGGATCGATCCCCTCGGATACCCGATTTAGTTAAGGCTCCGTCGTCGTATATTTGTCCCTCCGGAAAAGTAAGCCGCCGTCGTCGTACACCTTGGTTTTCTTCGCTGGCAACGTAGTCGGCCATTGAGTTGGCCGATACCAAACGACCTTCAAAACGTTTTGCGTCGAGGCAATACGCACCATGGGCTGCGCACAGTCTGCCGAGGAGCGAGCCGCAGCCGCCAGGAGTCGCCTCATCGAGCGCAATCTCAAGGAGGATGGCATACAGGCGGCAAAGGACATTAAACTTCTGCTGCTGGGTGAGTGTTCCAGGAGCCCGGGGCTCCGAATAACCGCCATAAACCAGGCGTATCAATATTTAATTCGCGGCTCTGCTAAAATTAGTGTAGCATACTTGGCGGCAGGCGGCGGCCGGCTGCTGCCCAAGCGACTCATTAAAAGGAAAAGGCCCAGGACACGGATTTGGGAGGCCACATCCATGTTTTTCCCGTTTTAGGTTGTGAATGGGTTTCCCTTCTCTGTCAGCTGTGGTGCAGCCTTGCCCTTTGACCCAAGCTATTTTTGGAAATTTTATTTGGAGAACGAAAACTTTGCCATCGGTTAAATAATATACGCTGGGGTGTTCATTAAAGCTCATACAAAGAAATGTTTAAAGGTTTTTTCTGGTTTTATTGATATAACATAATTTATTTTACATAATTTTGTAATGGTAAACCAAAATGACTTTAAATAATAAACAAATAAGCTCAAACTCATATTTTTAAATGGTTTAAAGTCCAGTGAAAACAACTCTTAACCAAAATTATTAAAAATCCTTTTCATTCGAGTGATGTAAACTTACAGTTTATTTTAATTGCGGGAAAACCCCGAAATGCACTTCTTCTCTATGTATTTATTCATCGAAACCAGCAAAGACTATATATTCTGAGAATTTTCCTAATAAAATATCTGGCTATAAACTCTTTCATCCAACATAAAAGTTTTTTGGCTAAGTCTTGCAAAGATTAAAAATAAGACCTCGAGTTTCCTATGAATTTAACAATCATTCGTAAAAATATTTAGATATATTTTATTTTTTTGATCAAGTTACACTTGAATTTTAAATTTTGATAGTCATGCAATGCGTACATTAAAGATTGCCTACAGACATTGTTTATATTACCATTAAAAGCACATCAAAGTCTTATTTAATGAAATCTAATTTTTAACCAAAGAAAACACAATCTTTGGGACAAATATGTCCACTTAAAGCGGGAAATTGCACCCTTGGGAGTAGCTTGGATTAAATTAAATAGGCTCCCTTATCTTCATAATTTATTCAAACATTAAATGCACGTGTACACAAGTACTTGGTCTGCATAAAAAAGCAGGAACTTATTGCCAACAACTTATCAACTACAGACCATTCATTTATCCTGGACGGGAGATGTGTACATAAAGCTTAATTATAATTTATTATTACATATGCAGCCCTCCTCGATTCACTTTATATATTGATTCCTGACATAAGAACCGCAGGTTCTGCTTTCCTTTTCTTGGCACAGTTCCCTCTTTCGATGATGGCTTAGTGAGAATGCGGATTGCCATAAATTTAATAATCACAATGATATTTGTTCATACATATATAAGGCAGAGAGTTCAAGGTCACTCACTCAGTTGGTTGTGTGCTCATGTACCTATGTACGTATGTACATATATATAGGGGGGCTGATTGTAATTGCAATTGGATTCCGATTTGTGATAAGGGGCATAATAAACATGTCCGCCGGGAGACATTAACAAATGAAAAATTGCAAATGCATTGGCAGGCAGCATGTGGCGAAGCAGCAGCAGGAGGAGGAGCCAGCTCTTTGACTTTTCCGGCACTAGAGCCAGTGTATATATAGTATATGTGGCAAATTGACCAAATTTGGGCGGAAAATGAAGGAAAATTGCATTCACTCGGAATGCTTCCAGCTTCTTGTGCTTCGTTCTGCCGTCTGAAAATGAGTAATTTTCGTATTTTTTCTCATACACTTTGGCAGTGCCTCTCATCTCTCATCTCCGGCTGCATGTCCAACCCATCACTACCTACCCCGATCCCCACCATTGGCTTCTGCTGTTTACATTTTGTGTATTTCATTTAATTTCCTCTTTTGCCCGGACTCAGCTGAAAAATGTTTGGCCAAGGGGGGAAAAGATTTCAATTTCTGACAGTTTTGCGTGTGTTTCAGTATAAAAATGTTAATTTTCGGGCTACACCCACTGCTGCGTGTGTGTGTGCTTCGAGTGTACTGGAAATGTTTATTTAAAAAAATGGTTCCTTCTCTTGCCGTGCGCGCATTCAAGAATTCATAATAATAATCGGGGGCAATACGTAAGTAAGCCCCACTATATAGCCCCCTCCCTGCCCTGGCCAAATCTTTTGTTTCCCTGCAATCCACGAAAGCATTAAATTTAAGCACTTTGCCTTCGATTTCCACACAAACAAAGCATTAATCTCAGGTGCCAGCTCACTCCCCCGATCTCTCGCCTCTCTATAAACAATACTCGGAAAATGCTCTGTTCACTGCTCTTGAGTTTGAGAAAAATCTAAACATTTACCTTAGTTTTCGGCTTTATTTATGGAAGGAGAGAAAACTCCGTCCAAAGATGATTTTAAAATTTTCTGTAAATCTGTGTGCCGACTTTTTCAAGTGGTGGACAATGGAATCACTCTCTTTCTAGAATTTTTGTATGGCTTTTAGGAAATTGTAATTAGAACTAGCAGGAAAATAAGTATTGTTTGTAATCTCTTACAAACGTTTTTTAAATAGAATTCGTGTCTAAAATAAAGAACAATGAACTGTTAAAGAAAATAAAATTAATGAAGAAGAATATCAGGGGCTCTTTAGCAAAATAAAATAATTTATTTCCGTTGTTTACTGTTTTATTTTGGGTTAATTATATTTTATAAAATCGTTGAAGCCACTTTAATGTGATATTAATCCTTTTTTTATTATTGTTATTAGAGATTAGTATGTATATGGCGCGAATAGTCAAATGCAATTACCATTTATCAGGTTATGTCATTTTCCCCGGGAAAGCTTGGCTATGCAATTTTCCAGCCAAGTCCTCATCGGCCAGCTGTCGGCGATTATCTTGTTTATAACAAGAAACCCCCTTCAAAAGTCGCTCAATTAACAAATTGCATTCAATTGGATGGAAATTCTGCTAAAATTGCAGCTTGCAAATACTTCAAAGAGCAGGAGGAGAAGTGGCAAGAAGATGCAAAGTAAGATGAGACAGGAGACTGGGGCTGTGGCCTGTTATCAATGGCAGATGACCAGGGCCAAACAATTAATCCTTTGTTTGCCATTTATACATAGTTGCTGCCCCTCTTTGCGTTTTTCTCATTTTTCTTTTGGCCGACGGCATCTCAAGATGATATAGTACATTGATGATAATGATGATGATGATTATCGTGATGTGGGATTGCGTGGCCTGCTGGGTGGGTGGCTGGCTGGTTGGTTGGTTGGCTGTGCGTCGTTCAAAGGCCATTAAGCTCTACTTGAGGAATACAAAGCCCAGACATTTAGTGCTAGAGAACTAAACGCAGCATAAATATTTGCGACGACCCCTAAGCTCTTTTGTCGGTTGCGGACACCAGACACACACACACACTCAACTCTCTCTTAGCAGTATATACTATATCTATATTGTCCCTACGCATCACTAACTCTTGCTTCCATTCCATTCCATTCCATTTCTAGGTGCCGGTGAGTCGGGCAAGAGCACAATAGTCAAACAGATGAAAATCATTCACGAGAGCGGCTTCACTGCGGAGGACTTTAAACAATATCGACCGGTTGTCTACAGCAACACAATACAATCATTAGTTGCAATATTGCGCGCGATGCCAAACCTAAGTATTCAGTACAGCAATAACGAGCGGGAGGTAAGCCCCAATCCCGGACCTATTCACTGTATGCAGTGTCTCTAGATCATCCCCTATTCCTTCCACCCTCCCTTCCTTCCAGAGCGATGCCAAGATGGTGTTCGACGTGTGCCAGCGGATGCACGACACCGAGCCCTTCTCGGAGGAACTGCTGGCCGCCATGAAACGACTCTGGCAGGACGCCGGCGTCCAGGAGTGCTTCTCGCGCAGCAACGAATACCAACTGAACGATTCCGCTAAATAGTGAGTACAAAAACAATATTCTTATATCAACAAATGGTATTGGCCGCGAGAAAGGTGCCAAGTGATGGCTGCAGATGGGAGGAAAATTATTTTAAATGCGGTTTATCGAATCACTTGGCAAACTGCGAAAACATATGTATATATACTTAATTGTATATATTTTAAATCCCTAAACAAATGGCTAAATTTGGATAGAACTATTACGATATATATATATATATATATATATATATATATAAAATAATAACAAATTTATAAGCAAACCCTTAAGGAAAACAGACAAAATAAAACTTGAAATTCTATTATTAATAGATCTTAAAAGTGGAAATTTTGTTTAGGTTACAAGTCCTTTTAACCATATTAAGCTGAAAGCTTGGACCAGGCTGGCTTGCCTTATCACGTTTGACCTTCCTTTGAAAATTTATTTAAAGCTCTCCCTACTAATGGGTCTTCTCCCTACGTGACTTCTTGGCATTCTAATTGAACGCGTAATTGGATATATGTTTTCTATAAATAAAATGTGATGTGCCTCATCTTTAAGGTTCCCTTTGAGAGGCTAAGTGAAACGTGCTTAAAATTACCTCCCAAAGGAAAATCAGTTGTGCGTTTAACCCAACTAGACCTCTCTCCCTCGGTCTCTGAACCAATAAAACTAATGATAGAGCCTTAATTTGAAAGCAATTAATCATGCGCATAGATTGGCGTTTGCTTGACCTTAGCCATCACACTTTGTGCCCTAGACTAGCTAAGCCCACTCGCATTTTGATTAATGATAATACCATACATACCGTCGACCGTCCGAGACAAGAAAAGCAAACAGAAACAACGCGTTTTATTGCATACTTTTCGACGCTTTATTAGGTACAATTATTCCTCGACAAAAACGACAAAAACACTAGAACTAGAAATATGGAGGGAGAATATAATGGGTTCTATATACACATGTATCCACATAAATACACGACGTTTATTCAGCAACACGCACCCACATAAATATCTGTCCATGGATGTGCGTTGCCCTGAAACTGTCCGCACTGCGTTATTATGTACATTTGCTTAATTAAAAAGAAACATCGCAGCAGCAGCAGCAGCTGGGCTTTGACTATAAATATCACACATCCGCCGTGTGTCTGGCTGCAGCTTAGAAACCAGCAGAGCAGAGCTCCCAGTACCCATGCTCCCGTGTCCCTTTGCACTACTCGTCCCTCAGCGTAAGCTTGAAATTCAACGGCGACTGCGGAATGTACGTAGAGTTCACACGGTACACAAACTCTCCCGAGTTGTACGAGACCTTGTATTTGCGGAAGATCTGTTTCCCGGAATTAAACGTGGCAAATTAGAAGGGTTGAGCCAAGAGTAGAGGTGGCTGCAAGTTCCTACCTTGGCCAGAAGCGTGTGCAACTCAATTTCGGCGAAGCGACGACCCACGCACATGCGACGTCCAAAGCCAAAGGGCAAGCTCACGAACGGGTGAATCTTCTGGCTGGCATGGGGGCAGCCACCTATAAAAAGGGGTGAACACGAAACAAAGGTAATTACAAGCACTGGGAAAAATAGAATTAACAAGTAGGAAAGTTGCAGTCGAGGGAGACAAAAAAATATATATATATTCCGGGTGAAATTAAAAGGAGTAATGAAATGAGCAATTATGCTTAGATTTATAAGAAGACCAATGTTGCTAGAAACAATAAAAACAAGTGTGGGGTTTTCCAAACAAATGTAGATGTTGCAAAAGTTCAATATTCAGAGAAACTATATTGTCTAAAAACTACCGCATTAATTAGCTTATTTTACTTTTAAAACCCGGGTCAGGTACCTTATGGATACTTGCTACAAAAGTGTTTGCTTTAAGAACTTCAATATTAAATGCATTAAGAGAGGTTCAAGGTTTATCCTATGTAAACCCCTGACATTTTCATTTAGTTCTAAAATAAAGTGGTAGTGAGAAGTATACAAGTTGGAACAGAGCCTTAGGGTACCGTCTCCAACTTATGTACCGCTTTTCAATTCCCTGAAAGTCCAATCGGCAGCACTTTCTCAGAGTGAACCTCTGACCACTCACTCACCGGCATCTGCCATGGCCGCTGTAGTGGACTGCTTCAGCCATCGCTCGGGTAGAAAGCGCTTGGGTTCTGGGAAATATGCGGGATCGTTTGACACCACCAAATGAGGGAAGATGACGTGCGTCTGAAACGGCAAAGGGAAACAAGAAAATTGTAGCGGGTGCTAAAGGCTCTTGTCCTAATGGTCACTCTTCCGCCGACTTACGCCCTTGGGTACGTGGTAGCCGTTGATGACAGCATCCGACTGGAGGCTCCTTCCATTGGCAATCACCACGGGTCGCATTCTGCAAATGAAAATGAAAAAAAGGGTTTAGACGTCCGCGTCTCAATCAGGGAGAGTGCCCTTGGACTTACCGCAGAGTCTCCTTCACACAGGCTCGCAGATAGGGCATCTGCTCCAGGACATTCTGGTTGATCTCGGCCTCGCGGCGGGGAAACACCCTTTGCAGCTCCTCGAAGAGACGCTGCTGCTTATCCGGATTCTTGGCCAGCTGATAAATAGTGGAAGAGGCTGCCACTGATGTCTGTGATATGGAAATAAAGACTTTAGCTTAGGAAACATTCGATTTCGACTACTCTTACTGTATCCACACCAACTAAGAACAGATCCAGGGCCAGGATAGCAGCCAACTTGCGATTGCCCGTCTTTCGCACAATCCTCTCCACAATGGAGATGTCGGCCTCCGATTTGGGCAGTCCTTGGGCCTCATCAGCATCGGCCTTGTCCATGGTCTTGCCAATGTTCTTCATGCAGATTCTGTACAAGTTATGAAAGCATTATGACTGTGATTATTCAGTGTGAGAGAAGGTAGTGATGTCTCACGCTGTGAACTGGTCCAAGGCCTTGACAAAGCTGCGATAGGCCTTCGTGGGATATAGACGCCACAGGGGCATCCGAAGCTCCAGTTCTGGAACAGCCCAGAAAAACGTGTTGATGGCCTCGATAATCTGCTGGGCCTCCGCACTGCCCTCGGGCGACAGGCAGCCCAGTCTCGTGTCCAGGGAAACGCGTCCCACAGCTGCAATAGATTTAAGACTAATTTGTTAGAAACTACTTGTTAACTTTTTAGATTTTCCCTCTAAAACGAAAAAAAAAATAAAAAATAAAAACCACAAATATGTGGCTGCTTTGGAAACCAATGTTTCCAGCAATATGCGTTGTTCCACAGCCAACTTTTATTGGATTTTTGTTGAGCGCTTAAAGTGCCAATTAAAAGTTAACTAAAATGTTTACACGGCGGAGAGAGAGTTAGAGTTCAGTGTTAAAGCCAGCTTTGATTTAATTAAAAACTTTTCAAGGCACTTAATTTTTAAGCTATTCGCTTTTCCAGCAGGTTAAGTGCATACAGTTGGGCTGGATTAATGTTTATGTTTGTGGAATGATTGTGAAATCTAAATTACACCAAGTGTTTGCATCTACTAATCATTGACTTTCAATCCAAATCCCAAGACAAACTTGGGCTTTAAGGGCCCCAAAGCCATTTTGATTGAGCTGCAGCTGCCATATTCCAATAAATTGTGTCATAATCGAAGGAATACAGAGAATATTGGCAACAGAACTTACATTCCAAGGCCCATTTGTACAGCTCGTGCAGGAAATTGGCTGGCAACTCGTCCTTTTCGTCGCGCATCGCCTCAATCCTGCAGATGGGGACGCAGAATGTGGGTGTGTTTCTGTGTGTGATTGGATTGCATAACAGCTGGGAATGCCCAGATGTTGAACTTACCGGCCCATAAACTCGCTGGCAATGTCATTCAGCGGCGGTATGTATTTCTTGGCCGTCTGCGGCTGCAGCAGGATGTGCTGCACCTCCTGCCTGAAGGCCTCCCACTTGGGTCCGTGCCTGCAGAGGAAGCAGAGGGGATGGAAACGAGTGGATGCACTCCAAAATGCCAGCCATAATATCCGTTATATAAGCACATTACTTACACGCCAATTAGGCCGGCCACATCACCAAAGAAATCGCGTCGCAGGTCGCCCTTGTAATGGCGCAGTGAGGGCATCGACGGCCTGGGTTTTGGGTTGATTTTTTTTTGGTATGGGTTTCAGCGCAAACAAAGAGCGGTTATAAAAAATAAAAAAAGGAAATGAGTGTACAGAAAAAAAATAAAAAGCTAAAAAGGTCATTTAAAATGGGATTTACAATTTAAAGAAATTAAATAAGTCCCCGTAGATCTTAAATAATGTTTGTAAATAGTATGGATATGAAAAAATGCCGCAGAATTGTTTTATAAATAAAATATAATTTAAATTTGTATATAACCCAAAATATGAGAGCCTTTTCAAACGTTTTCCTTATAAAATTAATGTGAAACGGTATTAGGATTTCCTATATTTTTGCTTTTTTTATTTTGTATTATTTCTTTATCGTGTTAATCGCCAGAGCCTAAAAGTTATTATTTTCTTTTACTTTGATATAATAATATTTCTTTTAATAAATGCGCTAATTTGCTTTTTAAATTGAAAAACAAAATATGCAATGAATTCTTATTTTAAATAATAAAATACCTTGCTAAAAACGCCAAAACCCCGATCCCCTGTCTGAGGTCGCCTCTGCCCTTGCGTGCAGACAGACCGGCGACGACAACATCAAACACAAATTCCCACTAAGGTACACACTCTCTCACACACAAAGTGAAGCGATTTCTCTGCCCCCAGCCCAGCCCCGAACAGCGATTCTGGTATATACACGCTCCAAGCTCCTATTATTTGCATTATATTTGTCTACTCGCATGTCACTGAACAAATATATAAAGGAGAAGCGTATTTATTGGCTTTTGTTTTATGCCCTTTTCTAAATTTCCCTTCACTTAGCCAGCCGCTTTGCGCGTTTGTCAGCTTGGCAGAGTGTGAGTTGAGTGTGGGTCGCCCCGGGCAACGAAATGCCCACTTAAATGCCAGAGATCTCAGTGTAAATATGTAAATTCATTTTGTTTTATAAAATGCCAAGGAAATTCAAGCCTGAGATGTCTATAAAATAAGTATGTTCTGCATTTGAATTATGCAAATAGCGGTTCTGGCGGCGTAATAGTTTCCAGAAGGGAGAAAAGCTGGGATAAGGGGAAGGATTCATTAATATTTATTCTGGCTCCGAGACAGCCTTTTCAAGCGTTTAGCATAATTTTGAAATTAAGTAAAGTCAAGCAAAAACTATTCTCACATTTATGCAGTTTGTATAGTTTAAATTACATGTTTAAATATTCATACTGACATCTAAAACCAGTTTGAAGACTATGTTAGGCTTAAGATTAATAGTTTACATGCCTATGTTAGCGGTGTTTGCATAATCAACACAAAATTTGTTAAAGCTGTTAAAGTTTCGCAGGGAATCCCAGCCAAGCTCTATGCTTGACCCCCTGAAAGTCACGATCGGAACACATCTAGAGACACTTTTCCCCGAGAGGCGGGCTCTTTCCCACCAACAAAGACAAGTATTTCTCAGCGAGTTTTATGGGTCTCGTAAAAAAGTCAACAATGCCGACGCCTCCGGCGCATGTCTTGGCCAAATATCTTCATCAATCAGTTGGGCAGTTGGTCAGTCAGTCAGTCTGTCAGTCTGTCAGTTAGCCAGTTAGTTAGAGGCACTGGAGGCAGAAGCCAACTTCACACTTGTGCGTGGTTCATTCATCAATCTGTCTGCCTGCCGGGCCCACATTACGTTAATGTTGTCTCATGTCCAATCTATTAGCGATTCTTTTCACTCATTTCAATGATGACTTGCCAAATGTGCTCGCCAAAAACAAACGGCAAACAACATAGCGTCTGCGATTCCCGATTCGCCATCGATCCGCAAAGATGTTGTTGTTATAATAAACTACATAAACTATTGGAAGCGTAACTTGTTAAATTTGGTTCATGGCCATGGCTATATGTCCGAATCCGACTCAGAGTCCGAGTTGGAATGATAGGGGAAAGGCGTATAGAAAAGAAAGCTTATAAAAGATATGAACACGAAGCTGGACCTGGCTTTACTTTCGTTTTGTTTGCTTTTTTACCTTCATTATTTATTTCTATGATGCAAAAAAATGCTCAACGCCTGTCCGTCCGAATTGTGAATAGTTTGTTTTGTTTGCTCTGTGGTTTTATTATCATTTCGGGCTGGATCTGTGGTGTTGCTAGGCCTACAGATCTACAGATTGGATAAAAGCGGAGTGAAAGTTTTCAACTAATTTCAATTTAATGGTTTTATTTTTATCACGCGCGCGCAAAAAAAAAGAGATGTATTCAATCTTTATGACATCTTTACGGACGGGGGTAATTTGATATATGATATATTTATATTTATAAGAAATACCTTACTTCCTTGATTTATTTTCATTTAATTTGTGGCATTTTAACGTGTCAACAATGCCATAAAATACTTAATTAATCTCCCTGCTGAATATAGTTTATGCTCAAATGTTTTTGGAACAGAAATTCAGCTGAAAACTTCCCACATAATTAAACATATTCCTCTAAGGCCAAGGTTCAAGCCGTGTTTATTCCGAATTTTAATTGAAATCTGAATAAATGTAATTTTCACTTGCCACACGCGCGGAAAATGCGTATTATTTTTCCATCTGTCGCTCCGATTTCAATCCTGCCACAATATTTTCACACATCCAACTTAATCCGTCCTGCCTCGCCCGTCGCCATCGCAATCGAGCGTTTTTGCCTTCGTTAGTTAATAATTTAATTACAGGCAGCGTTCAATATGCGCATAAATAAACAGGAAAATGCACTGGTGCCTCTGCAAAGAGCACAGGGGGGTTGGGTGCGTCCATGCATGAATGATTTGCCGCGGATATATATGCTATATATGCTACATGCTATGTGTGTGCGGGTGGACGTGCATATGTGCGTGGGATTACTCGCAATTGAGACCGAGTGCAGCCAGGCAGCAGCATGGCAGTAATGTTTGCTTTAAAAACAAATTTAATGGACTTGTTTAAGGCCTTTAAAGAGGTGGAAACTTAGCTGAACAAGGAACAAGTTGAAGTATAAATAATCTACAAGAGAAGTAGAAGATTACATAACAAAAATATGCATAGCTCTTTAAAAGCCTCACTCCCCAAGATAAACTGACTGAAATCTAACCTAGGGATGCCTGGGGATAATCAATCAAATAATGTGTCTCTTGGCATACTGCATCATCATCGCAGGAAACTCATAGTTCATAGTTGTGTCACACGTGGCGTATACGCAAGTTTTGCACTGCATCATGGACACCACAGCTTTGCTTGCTTGGTTCAATCACTCACCGATGCGGCATCGCCTCCTCCTTCTTGAATATATTCCGAATCTCATCGCCATCGAAGACGAACAACAGATCCGGATGACCAATCAGACCGCCAACTTTGGCCATCTTTCCGTAGTCGACATGCAGCTGGTTCATAACCTTGTCCAGGTCGCTAATTTTGTAGGTTCCTGCAACCGGATATCGGTTAACGAGGCCCGAGTACTTGAGAGGTTGAGAGGTGGTCGTTGCGACGGTTGGACTTACCAATTAGGGGAGCAAAGCGCCAGGAGTTGCCAATCAGCGGCAGAGGATATGGACCCGGCACCTCTGAGTAGGGACGGACGACGGCAGCCGCAGTCGAGGAAGTGGCTGTAGCAGCCACTACTGTGGTGGCTTTTGCATGAGTGGTTGCTGCTGCCAGGGCCTGGTGGCTGCCAATTAGTGAGGGATTATAAATAGAGAAAGAAATTAGTTGCCAGGGAATATAAAATCTTTAAGAAAACACGAATTAATTTTTTGATCTGGTTTTAAAGTTTTATCATGAAGAAAATCTAGATTTCTATAATTATTTAATATTAAAAACCATATTTATAACCCACTTAGGCTCGATTGTTCTCAGTGTGTGTGAAAAATCACTAACCTGACATTTAATTTCTTGAGATTCGCCGCCTCTCCTTGTCGCAGTCGCTGCATTGCAATTGATTTTTCAATTTCCGTCGCCAGGCCCACACCGCTGCTGGGCGGCTGTGGTGGCGACACGGCCGCAGGATGTGGCAAGGTGGTGCTGGTGGTGGTGCTGGAAGTGGAGCGCCTCATCAGCGCCAAGGAGGTTTTGCGTAAGCTCGACGACATCCTGAACCGAGCTGGGTCCTGGGAGAGGAGAAGCAGAGGAGCATTATGTAAAAAGTTGAGCATAAGTTGAGCAGCACAATCTGCTGCTGCTGGTGCTGCTGTCGGCAACTAAATTGTGTATTTATGATTCTCAGAGTGCTGCTCTCCCCCTCTCTTTGGAAAACTTTTAATGCATTGGCAAGTTGTGACCGACCGGCCACTGTTTTCCCGGGGCAAATCAATCAATATAAAGGAGCAAGGCAGGCAGGGCACTCGACTTTGAGTTTATTATCCCAACCGATTATTCCCCGTAGAATCGACGGCGCTGAAAGGTGTTCGCTTTGGAGTGCAAATATTATGGCACACTCGCATATTCATATTCATTTATTGGCCCCCAATCGGTCTCTACAGCTTTGACAGCACTTAGTTCAAGCTAGTTGCAAAACAAACGAAGGCAAACAGTCGGCGATTGTCCCTCGGATCTCTGGGGAGCACTTGGGCCAAAGTGGAACTTCCAGCTGCCTCTGGTTTTGTGCGTTCCATTTAACGGTCTCTCACAATCAGTCAATAATCCAGTCGGAGTTAGCCAGCGTAAAATTGAGCCCGTAACAACGAATAGTACTCGTAAAAAGTGAATTCAAACAAAGAAAACGCGAAACTGAAGGGCCATTGAAGTGGGCGCAATCAACCCTGGCCAAGTTTTCATAAAGTAAGGCCTAAGGCTTTGCCTCAAATCAAGTTTAATAGTTTATAGTTCATGTTGTATATTTAAAACGAGTGTAAAAATATTTACTTAATGGCCTCATAAAGCTGGTCTTCTATAAATGGTGCTCTTAAATTTTCATAACTTGATATTTCTTTATAACTGCAATATAATTTATGGGAGCTAGCACATGTTATGGTTCAATAAAAGCCAAAGAAAAGCTTAAGCTATCATTTTATGGATATGTTTAAAATAATTCTTTAAGACTTCTTCATTCAATTTCACTCCTTAGGTTAGTTTTTCAGTACAATAAAGCCCCTTATTCGCTTCCAGCTTACGTCAGAACTCAAAAGCTGTCAAGAAATCATGTTTGCTTTTGGGGCGCATCCGAAATTCAAATTATTTAACAATATTTGTAGATGGCTTTAAACATCCTTCACTGTCCATACAGAAACTAACATATTCCCTTGAAAAAACAAGCCGCAAAACACGCATTTAAGATGAGCATTCGTTTTGACGCTCCTGCGGGCAGGAAAACTGCCAAAACTGCGAAAAGTCAATGGGGAAAGATTGCTCATACGCCGCGTAAGCCAGCGGCAAACAAAGGCAGAAGAAGGCATTGGCGATGGAACTGGGATTGGGACGGAGACTGCGGCTCTGGCACCGACTTGTGCGCCTGCTCCCCAAGGGCAATATAATTTAAATGCCGAAAATTTGATGGAACAGAAATCTGCGCACACACACACAGGGACTTGCTGCCATTTTTCTTTCGTTTTATTTCTTTTTATGTACACTCACTTGGTCTTGGGCACAATGGCAGCAGCGGAGAGCTTGAGCTTATCCTTGCCCTTGTCGCACAAGCGGCGACCTTGAGTCCTCGAGTCCTCGCGTAACGAAACGAAACGAAACAACGCAACTATCTCAGTCTCCAGTCGCTGCTGGGCTTTATCGCCACGGCGGTTATAATGAACTTGAGTGATAATCCTAGCGCCTGCGAGTAATGTGTGGAGAAATGTCAAGTAGCCACTTGTCGTTGGCTCTTATGGCCTTTGTTTGAAATGGAAGCCAACGCCACAACAGAGGCCACCGCAGGCAGCACTCCCGCTGCCACCGCCACTGCCACTGCCACTGCCTTGGGTTTTCTTCACACTCGAATGAATGCGAAATTGAAAATGAATTCTATTAGCAGTCGGCTGCTAAATGGTGGCAAAAAGGTGCTCCGAAAAATCTCCCCCGGTTATGTCACAGCAGCTTGCTTGGCAAATCTTTGCCTTAATGCCTTTTGACTTGCCCTCAGAGGCATATACACACACAGGTGTAGCCGTGGAACAGGTGTGGCTGTTGCCTCGCATGGGAATCGATGGTATTAAAGCCATATTTGAATTTGCTTTCACGCCAGCCCAGCCAGCAGACACCAGCTGCCTCGCATTTTGACAGACATTTCAGCAAAATGAGTGATTTTCGAGGAGCCACTTGTCAGTTTACACTGTTTTTCCAGCATAGTGAGTTCGGTTATAAATTTGCTTTTCGCACAAACTGTTTTTGTGGCAAGGTGTCACTAGTGCACCGATTTTAAGACACATACACTGCATTGAAAAGCATATGTTTATCAGTTTGCAAAACTTTTTGTGGAACTACCAACCCGACATAATGCTCTTTAAAAAACAAATTATTTAAAGCCTCGTCTGCCCCTTAAAAATGAGAGCAGCTTGCTTAAATTTTTGTTTACGCTTAGAACCCATTTTAAGTGTTGGCAATCAAGCTGTTAACTGAGACCTGTTTTGGCCGTGACACTTTTTGTGGCTAAAACTAGCCGAGTTTCAATGGTTTTTGCCCAAATTTGGAAACTACTGTTTAGAAATTAAGAGCAACTAGAAAACAATAGTCAATATGTTGATCAATATTGTCCTAAACCACCTTTCTCTTGGTGTGAAAGGCTCCCCCTCCTTATTACCCAATTTCCTTGGCTTTTCCCAAAGTCTTTGTAATTAAATTGGCCTTTCACGGCGGTTAACAGTTGATTTCTTTGACAGCTTGTCAAGGTGCAACTAGTTTACCCGACACACCCAAATTGCCGGGGAAAGACAGCTCTCGGGGAAAACACTCACTTGAACGTTTGTTTCTTGTTAATTTTCCTCCGATTCGTATTTCTCGTTCGATCGAGTTTCCAGATTGAGTTTCAATCAATTTGTTACCGATTTAGTTGCCGATTTTTCCACGAACTTCAGGCCCCGGTTGTTTGTGCACAATTAAAACCGCTTTGGATGTCTTTTGTTGCGGATTTCTATTGTTGTTTGGCCAATTTCCCACACACGCTCACTCACAAACACTCGAAGACTTGAAGAGCGAGCGGCGGCACTTAAAATGCGGAGATTCGCCAAGTCTTTTGTCACGCAACGCGGAGTCGTTATGTTGCACCGATCTGTGCTGCCTTTGGCCGCCTCCAAGCGAATCCGAGTCCGAAACCGAATCTCAAAACTGAAACCCAAACCGAGACCGAGTTTTTGAGCTGTTGTTGCCTCGTAGACCGACCGCGACGCACTAAACGCGATCGCCGGGCTTCTTAGTCTACTTATACTGTGTACGCTATGGGCCTTATGCTACACAGAGACAAAAATATTTGCCTGAAAAATAGGTTGAATCTGAATTGAAATTGAAGAAAAGCTAATGTGTTAATTTTTATTTAAATATTTTTGAAAATATCATATTGAAGTCTTTACTTACATTTTTTAAAAGAAACATATGCTTTAAGTTCAACATAATGTTCTGATACATTTTATTAACTATTCAGAGTTTGAAATTCTTCAACATAAAACTTAAAATCATCTCTTTTTTTTTGAGAAAATTTTATAAATTAACTTTTCTTTATAAGCTTCAGCTTACATTTTTTTCCGTGTACTCCGAGTCGACTTTTCGTCAGCTTTTGGCGCGCTCTTGTTGGCTTTGTCATTTATGATATTTCTGCTAATTGCTGCCGTATCTCGCTCTCTGTTTTTTGTTTCTTTTCTCTGCGGTTTTATCTAGGCAGAAAATAGTGGACTTCTGGCATGACTAACATAATTTTTGAAAATGAAATTGAAAGTACCTAAATAATGCTAATCAAAAAGCAAAAGTTTGTGTTAATATATAACGGTTACAGCAGCATTGATTGACATTAATGATCGTGATTGAAGGTTTTGTTTTTGGGTCTTTAGTTTGAAATTGAAATAGCGGGTTATGTAAAATAAATAAATTATTATTAAACGCTGCGGAGACTAACGAGGCATTTGCTTGGCTAAATTGCACACAAATCGCTCAATTGAAAGGGCCATTAAAGAGTTGGTAAGTCACAAAGGCAAAAAAAAAGGGTTTACCCAGCAGGAAAAAATATGTAGTTAATCCAGGTGTAATTTAGGATTTTACATTTATATTTATGAAATAAGTAAGCAAATGAACACGTTCTTAGGAAAGTTTTGTTTAGCCAAAATCTGGCAACAATTATTCTAAAGTTAGCTCACTTTTCCTTGCTTTTCCTAACCATAACATTAATTTTGATGATCTACTTACACACACGCGTCGCCACCGCAACTTAGCGCCACTTGCCACACACGCAGGTTGCAACACATTTTCCGGGGCTCACAAATTACAGATGCATGTGTGTCTGCGGTTTTGGATCAGTAAACAGAGGGAAAAACTTTTGTGATGGACATGTTAAATAAGATCTTGGCATGCGAAGTGCTAACCAAGCGATGGGCTGGTGGATTGCCCAATCCCAAAACTGTTTGCATCCGTTTGCAGGCGGCTTTCAATTAATTTGTCCAAGAAATTGTAACAGATATTGTGGGCATTATGTATTTGCTTTGATTATAGACCTGCGCTAAACTTTTCCGCATGAAAAGTGGCCGTTGCCGGACGAGCATGACTAGGCCCGATTTCCGCGGTAAGGTGCAGGTCCAGGGGCCTATCTCGGCCATTCCTTGGGCTGCCCAAGTCAGGCCTGGGCCTTGTTGTTGGGCAATTGTGCGTGTAATTAAAGCGAAAACCAGTTGACCAATGAATGTATCTGATTTTGGGCAACGGAGCAAGTCAACCGGAGATTGATGCGATAACCAGCGCAGATTCATTCCCCCCCCAAAAAAAAAAAACTATTTACGACCTGTCCGAACCTGGCCAGCAAATAAAATTAGCCGCGTTTCCTCCGCCTCAGCCCTCAGCCCTTTCTTAAGGCATTGCGTGCCCCAAGTTAATTACGGCCACATGAAGTAAGCCAACGAGCCAACTGGACACTTTTGAGCTACTGTTGCTCCTCCGCGGTCTCCTTCTCCGCTTCGATGACCTACTTGTTGACGCACTTACTTGCACGCAGACTCCCATCTCCGACAGCAGTTGTATCTGTATCTGTATCTGTCTCTGTATCTGTCTCTGTATCTGGGAGATGGCTATGGTTACACAACCGGCAAATAAAACTAATTGCAAATAAGACTTGTAAGCACGGAAATTAGAAGCAGAAAACAAGTCACGGAAATGGGAATCATGGCTTTGAATAGCCATGTAGTTCCTGCAGTCCAGTGTCTGTGTACCTATATGGAGACGACGATGGGCCAGGCCGTTTGCATAACCAAGTAAGGGTCCCGGTCCCCTTTGCCATGTGTGGCGGGTGCTGGCATCGTGCTGTCCCCCACTGCCTTTGTGCAGGACACGCGCGCAGGTTTTTTTTTGTTTTTAATTGTTTGCTCAGCGCTTCGGTCTGCGCCTTAATTGTTTGCTGAAGACTTGGCGGGGGGCTACGGCCGGAAACTCGGAGGATAGAGGATGTGGGAGGATAGGAGGATGGCTGGGCAAACATTTGTCTGGTCAAGCGATGTGGGCGAGGAAATGAAATGCTTTCGCCCCACCAACTGTAACACATTCTGCCTTTGCTCTATTTCCTTGCAGTTTCCTGGACGATTTGGATCGGTTAGGCGCCAAGGATTACCAGCCGACCGAACAGGACATCTTGCGTACTCGCGTCAAGACCACTGGCATCGTGGAGGTACACTTCTCCTTCAAAAACCTCAACTTTAAGTGAGTAATTGCTGAGGGTCTCATGTGGGGATCATTTCTTTATTTAATTTGTATTCCCTTGCAGATTGTTCGACGTGGGCGGCCAGCGGTCGGAGCGAAAGAAATGGATACATTGCTTCGAGGATGTCACAGCGATCATTTTCTGCGTGGCCATGTCAGAGTACGATCAGGTCTTGCATGAGGATGAAACCACGGTGAGAATTCAAGGCGTATTTTATCCACGATTTTTACTATGAATTTGTTTAGCTTGATTTTAAACCAAAGTTAGAAATATACTTTGAGTGATTTTAAATCTTGACAATTTCCATTTTTTTTGTTGTTTACTAAGTTTGCTCTAAGAGAATAGTGCTTGATTATTAAAATGTATCAAATTTACATGAATAGTAAACAATATTATCCATTTTCTATTTCAGAACCGCATGCAAGAGTCGCTGAAACTGTTCGATTCGATCTGTAACAACAAATGGTTCACGGACACCTCGATCATTCTGTTCCTGAACAAGAAGGATCTGTTCGAGGAGAAGATCCGCAAGAGTCCCCTGACAATTTGCTTCCCCGAATACACAGGTTAGCTATAGCTAAACATCCCTATGCCCAGGGTATTAATGTTCCGTATTGTCCGGTATTCCAGGTGGACAGGAGTACGGCGAGGCGGCTGCTTACATTCAGGCTCAATTTGAAGCGAAAAACAAATCAACCTCAAAAGAAATCTACTGCCACATGACGTGCGCCACAGATACCAATAACATTCAGTTTGTATTCGATGCTGTCACCGATGTCATCATAGCAAACAATCTGCGCGGCTGCGGACTGTACTAAGGATCCGATCGATATCGAGTTCGAGATCGAGAACGAGATGATGTGGAGCAGAAATGGGGGGCGTTAGCAGGGAACACCGTAACGGTATTAAAGAGCAGCGCGGGAGCACAACAACAACAACCCACCAGCATTGATCAAAAACCAAACAAATTAAAGAGAGCAACAAAACGATGATAGGAACCAACCGCAACTATAACACACAGGACACAGAACAGAGGACACATGGTACTGGATACTGGATACGCGACCCTGAACACTGGACAGCACAGGACTCTGAACACTGAACAAGCGAAGCCCAAAGAACTTTTATTTGTTTAACAAAAACGCGCGATGACGGAGATCCCGGATGGACGATGAGAAATATAAGGAAATAAGCAACAAGTACATTACATAATAACGATAATATTTGGTGCAGAGAGACGCAATGTCAGATCACTGACACTGAGGATTGATTTGATTGATTGGTAGCAGCAGCAGCAGCAGCAGCAGCAGCAGCAGCAGCAGTTTGATTGAAAGGCATTTCCTATTATACATACATACATATATACAAAACACACACACATACATATGCATTATGCAAGGCCACATGTACGACATGACACCGACACCGACACGCACACTCTCGAAACACAAGCGCAAGCATTGCATATATATAGTTGTTGTTTGGTCTGAATAATTTTTATAGAACTTCATAATTTATTGGGTAGCCCTTAGTTTCCTCATGTATTTATTAAACCAAAAAGAAAGTAGGAAGGACAATGCGATACACTTCTATACATATACAACATATATATATATATATATAAATATTATATATTAAATGTTTCCTGTTGCAATCTCTCTTTGGAATTATTCATGCCATCAACGCTCTGCATTTGCATCCTGCTTGTTTAGACCTAAGTTCGAAAGAGTTTCAACCAAATCCAAACGGCAGATGAGCTAAGAAATAATAATAATAATAACTAATTCATTTGAATTGCGTGTCAGCGTGTGGGCTAAAAGTAAATAATATTACCTAACATAAACATAAACATAAACACACACGAACAAACCAAAAGAAGGGAAGATAACGAGCAAATCTTTAAGGTTTAAGTCTAATTTAAAAGGATTTAAAGATAAATGAGAGGCGGATATAAAACTCTATCTATTGTATTTACAAACAAAATAGAAAAGCAAACAAAAAAAAAACGAAGCAGAAAGCTAAAAACTAAACCCGGAGAAAAGTAAAGTAAAGTAAAGGCATATGTATGTGGCCACTCGACTAATTTATGTAAAGAAGAGCGGCGGCAGTAGCGATTGATCACATTTCAGTGTAAATTGTAATTTGTTGAATTTACGTGTATAGAAAGACGTTTGGCTGGAAACACACAAACACACACACATACTGGACACTTACATATTTAATTTAATTCACTTAACAAGCTGATTTCATAATGATTTTGTTGCATTTAAGCGGAGAGCTAAACTACGAATCAGCAAAGATCAAAATAATTCAACTTTTGGCGGCGCACAGAAGCATGCTATATATTTTTGCCATATCTCTACGCACAAATACGCGCACAACACAACACACAGCACACACACAATACGAATCAAAAGTAACGAGAATGTAATGTGAAAGTGAAACGGAACGCAGAACTCAAATCTCCCAAAACAATGAAACTAAGGATTGTATGTAATAATATTTATAAAGAAAACTCTACTTTTAATGGTAACACAACAATCGTCGTCATACATGTATCTGATGTATGTCAAACTGTATTTAGCGAATGGCATTTAATCCCGCGAGTATGTTGAATTGTTTCAATTAGACTTATTATTATTATTATAATTATAATTATATATTACGTGTATATGTTTGTGTATATGCTTTGTGCGTGGTCTTTTGTGCATTTCTTGATTTTAGCTGCAATGAGAACTTATATATTGTTATTTTTATATAGAGTATCTTTTGTTTTGTATCTCAGCTCAGTCTTCTTCTCATCCTATACTCCTCTCCTAACCCCTAACCCGTGCTCCTGCTCTACAGTTGGACGGCAATCCAATCCAATATTTATGTTTTATAGTTTTTAAGTCTAATTTATGTAAAACGCACATACAAAACACACACACACACAAACAACACCACTTAAACATCAACTAAGTAAGTTTATTAGCGAAATAAATATATTATTTACAGTCAGAAGAGCATAAAGCCTAAAGCGCAGAGCTTAACCAAGTTCTATTTCGAATTTTCAATTGGGAAAACCCCCATCCCAGTAGCAGATCATCCAGTGAAGCTTTTCAAAAGATATGTTGTCCGTACAGTTTTATTTTAGAGCTTAAAACACCGATCCACTTAGTTCATGGCATTTTAATTCCCAAATTCCTACTCTTTACCCCAGCCCAAAAACCCAAACCACAACCACCAACCAAATACTGTAATATTTAAAACGTCTGTATTTTCCATTCAACTTGTAAAATTCAACCAAAAAGAAAACAAAAAAATGAACAAAAAACAAATGCAAAAACCATTTTCAAATAAAACTATTTATTCAAAAATAAAACCAGCCATTTTGTTATTTTTTCCCTTAGTTTCCCGATTATTTGGCCATGATGCATGCTATAGAAATTACAATGTTGCTGGATTTTCGGGGTAACAGCAGGATCCGTAGGTCCTGCACTGCGGCAGATCAAGAACCAAAGAGTTCAATAATTGTATGTAATTATAGATATAAAAATTAACGACAACAAACGATATATATATATATATTTATTGACAATTTAATTAAGCCACAGCAGCAACCACAACAAAGTTATTCATTTACCTTCGAGACGAACAGTAAACAAAGTCGCTCTTTATATATACAGATATATAGATATTTATATTTAGTGAATGGAGAATCAACAAATTGCTACATACATACCCATACATATGTACTATATTTTTCTCGTAAATTATTATTAATCAAAGTCCTCATATATATACCATATATATACGGAAGCGACTATAATTTCCACTCCTCCTCCTCGAACTTAGCTCAACTTTCGCGTCAAGAGAGATGGCAAGAAACACACTAAATATCATAAGAAAAGTCAGCATTCAGATAATAGCAACATTAATAGCATTCATAACCGCAGTATACTAAACTTTTTGCATATTTTCACAATACTAAACGGATGATAGCGTGGAATGATGTAACGGAATGGAATCAAACATAACTCATATTTTTCTAAAGCTCATGTACACCTCTTTGCTCCACACACACACACACACACACACGCCCCACTCACCGCACACAGAAGCAAGTCGCACACCACTACTAACTAAAATTACTTTAATAGCAGTTAAAACATTTATAAGTGAAATTCATAAAGAGCAAAAACCCAGAGGGGAGGTGATGTTAAATCGAATCAAATGTCAGCTAAGGGGACATTTCTCCGACTCACACTCACACGACCTTTTGTAAAATCCCAAAGGATGCGAGGAACGAGGCCAGGAGCCGCGGAGGAAGGGTATGGTGGAGAGTGGAACCAAGATTATAGGTTAGACAAAGTTTAGACATTGTATCTAATCTAATTTGTTAGCCTAATTCAAATTGCTTTGGTTGTCCCAGAGATGCAGCTGATCAGATTTGTTTAACTTGTATATGGCAAAGAGAAGAAATATTTATATACTTATTATTATTATAACGTACGTACTTGGAAATACAATTCTCCTCAAGTCTTGAGCTCCTTTTCTCTCTCTGTAATGACCCCTCAAGTGGATAATGTGTAGCTAATGGCCCAAACGGAAGAGTTTTAATAATGCTAACGAAGAAACGAAGCGAGCCACAGCATCTTACTAAGCTCGATATAATGATAATGATAATGATGACAGAATTTGAATCGTTGAATTGAAAATTTAAAATAATATTAACAAAAAAAGTAAAAATAATACTGCAACAACAAATGAAGGCATAACAAAGGAACAAAACAAAACCAAAATGTTTGTATGTAAAAGAAACTCAAAACGTTAGAGATCATCTACAATTTAAATAAATATAAATAAAACCAATACATGTCTCAAGTGTTTTATTCGCAGAGTCTAGGGGAGATCGTAATGTGCGATTTATGTTATATAATATATATATATAATTTTAATTTTTATTTAGTATATACAGCAACATTAAACACAACAAATTGATCAAGGATCATACATGTGCTAGTTAGACAATATCATAAATTTGTTTACATTTACTTCATTTCAATTTACATTTATATTAATTTATGTGCCTGGCCAAAGCATTAGGGTGGTCTCCGAGGCGTTGCGCATAGCCGGTTGCCAAATTTTGGCGAACATCTCCGACCATCGGGATCTTGTTATTGTCCTTGTTTCGGACGTACACTACTGGCCGAAATAATAAGTACATGCGTATGTGGTTTGTTTCAAGTCCTATAAAATTTGTTTAATAAACTTAAGAAAAAAACCCACTTTATTTTTAGTTTCCGTACTTATTCCAGATAATAAAAATAACTGCCTAAAGGATTTTACTTTTCAAATTTAGAGACAGGGGTCAATTTTATCCAAAAAGCATGAAAATGGGCTGGCCAAAATAATAAGTACACCCATTCTTCTAAGCCTAGAACTCGGAACGTATTAGATATTTTGCACTTCTTTTTTCTTATTAGTTAACTTAGATTAGTATCCAATAGAACCACACTCGTTTTAGGTAACTTTCGCTATTATTTTTGGCATTCTAGCAAGAAGTCTGTTGCAAGTCACTACTAGAAACTCAGACCATGTTTCTTCAGCAAATCTTCACAAATCTTCAAAATTTTTAAATGTATTGGTTACAATACGACGTTTTAAGTTTCCCCATAAATTTTTGATTAGGTATGAGTTCGGAAACTGACTTTTCCAACCCATGACGGTTACTTTTTTGTCCCTAAACCAGGCCATGATGACTTTTAAGGTTTACTTTGGATCGTTATCTCGTTGGAAAATCTATCGGAAGGGCATGTTTCCCTAAGCATATGGTTAGAAGATGCCAGTTAAAAAAGTTTTATTTTCGAATACGGTCGTAATACCATTTATGAGATGTATTTGCACAACGCCATGCCAGGAAAAACAGCCCCTGACCTTTATGCATCTGTCTCCGGGCTTAACTTTTTTTTCGCGTTTCAAAGCTCAATTTTTTGACTTTGGTTTGACGTACAAACCGCCTAGAATCGTTTTCAAAAAGAAATATTTTTGTTTCATTGCCCCAAAGTATTTTGTTTCCACCTCCGGTTCAGACCATACCAAAAAAATATTGCAAAGCTTTTGCTTCATCTGAAAAAATTTTCCTTGAAGTAATAGAACCTTTTGGGGTATACGTCCTTGTAATCCTGTCTCATGCAGTCTACGACAAACTGTTCGAGCTCAAATTTAAATGTCAATTTCGCCGGAAATGGCCTTGGATGACCAAACAGGTCCTTTTTGGCAAGAGAGAGGTAACTGTTATGAGATGGTCAAGTCAGTCTCCTATCATAAACCTAAACTAAACATTGTGGGGAAACTTCAAACGTCGAATTGTAACCAAAACATTTTAAAATGTTGAAGATTTGTGAAGATTTGCTGAAGAAACCTGGTCTCAGCTTCTAGTACTGACTTGCCACAGACTTCCTGCTAGAATGCCAAAAATAATAGCGAAAGTTACCTAAAACGAGTGTGGTTCTATTGGATACTAATCTAAGTTTACTTGTAAGAAGAAAGAAGTGAAAAATATCTAATACGTTCCGAGTTCTAGACTTAGAAGAATGGGTGTACTTATTATTTCGGCCAGCCCATTTTCATGCTTTTTGGATAAAATTGACCCCTGTCTCTAAATTTGAAATGTAAAATCCTTTAGGCAGTTATTTTTATTATCTAGAATAAGTACGGAAACTAAAAATAAAGTGGGTTTTTTCCTTAAGTTTATTAAACAAATTTTATAGGACTTGAAACAAACCACATACGCATGTACTTATTATTTCGGCCAGTAGTGTACCAAGGAACGCCAGAAATTTTCCTAAAATTGCCGACGTTCGTATACCCTTGCAGATAGCAATTGGATCACTAAGAATCGAGCCATTCTGGTTAGATAATTAAAAATAAAAAATAAAAGAAAATATATAAAAGTTGTATATTTTCATAACATTAATAAAATGCTGAAAACACACACAAAACAGTTAAACAGTTACAGTTACATTCCTAGCTTTACATTTTCTCTACATCTACCGATCGCTTCTATAGCAGCTATATGACAGTTGTTCGATTTTCATAAAATGTATACCAAAATTCTAAAAATAAAAAGCAAAAGCTTAGTTTCTTGTTCATTTTTGTTCTAAAAATTATATAACAAGAAAGGAAGCTAACTTCGGCACGCCGAAGTTTGTATACCCTTGCAGATATTATTTCATTACATTTTACCTATACTTATTATGTTTACAGTTTGACAGTTACAGTTTTACATTCACACCTTTACATTTTCTCTACATCTACCGATCGCTCCTATGGCCGCTATATGATATAGTTGTCCGATTTTCATGAAATTTATACCAAAATTCTAGAATAATAAAATAAGCTTATATCTCAGAGTAGATGAAAATACGTTGAAAAACAACGAAGTTATAATTTGTTTCCTATTAATTTCCCGATCGTTTCTATGGCAGCTATAAGATATAGTCGACCGATTTTCATAAAATTTTTACCAAAATTCAGAAATAATATAAAATGGCCATATCTAAAAAATGTTGCAATAATGTTAAAAAACAGCAAAGTTATAATTTTTTTCCTAAAAATTTATCGAACATTTGTATGGCAGCTATATGATATAGTCGTCCGATACGGCCCGTTCCGACATATATAGCAGTGAGAGTATATAGAAGACTAAATGCAAAGTTTCATTCAGATAGCTTTAAAACTGAGGGACTAGTTTGCGTAGAAACGGACAGACGGACGGACAGATGGACAGACGGACAGACGGACATGGCTATATCGACTCAGCTGTTGATGCTGATCAAGAATATATATACTTTATAGGGTCGGAAACGTCTCCTTCACTGCGTTGCAAACTTCTGACTGAAATTATAATACCCTGCAAGGGTATAAAAATGGCAGGTAAGTATTATAATAAAACTGAGTATGCAGGACCAGAAGCGAACCAGGTGCCGGGGCAGCACGACGAGGGTGCCACCAAGACGGAGCCGAAACCACTGGAAACGACCTCCGACATTTCCACATACCTCACCTTTTCTTCTTTTATTTATTTAAAGCTGAAGTAAATAAAAAACCTTTAAAAATTTGTTATTTTTGACTTATGAGGAGGATGAGGTTTTTCTTTTGGGTGGGATAATTTAAACAGGCTCAATAGAAGGGCATTCTTTCGGTGGACAATGGAAAAAACATCAAATATTGCAAAATTGCTAGATCAGCGTCACTGGCAGTTAGTGAGATGCCATTTTGTTCCAATACGGCAAAATAGCTGGATGAGCATCACTGGTAGTTAGTGAGATGCCATTTTGTCCCATTAATGCAAAATAGCTAGATAAGCATCACTGGCAGTTAGTGAGATTCCATTTTGTCCCAATAATGCAAAATAGCTAGATGAGCATCACTGGCAGTTAGTGAGATTCCATTTTGTCCCAATAATGCAAAATAGCTGGATGAGCATCACTGGTAGTTAGTGAGATGCCATTTTGTCCCATTAATGCAAAATAGCTAGATGAGCATCACTGGCAGTTAGTGAGATTCCATTTTGTCCCAATAATGCAAAATAGCTAGATGAGCATCACTGGCAGTTAGTGAGATGCCATTTGGTTCCGATACGGCAAAATAGCTGGATGAGCATCACTGGTAGTTAGAGAGTTGCCATTTTGTCCCAGTAATGCAAAATAGCTAGTTGAGCATCACTGGCAGTTAGAGAGATGCATTTTGTCCCAATAGAGCATCACTGATGCAGATGAGCATCACTGATGCAGATGAGCATCACTGATGCAGATGAGCATCACTGATGCAGATGAGCATCACTGATACAGATGAGCATCACTGATGCAAGTGAGCAAAACTTTTCATTCAAATTGGCCGCTTTCCAAACTGGGGTAACAGGCGAACAGAAACCAGTAGCAAGCAACTGAAAACTGGTATAAACTGTTATAAAAACATTTGGGCAAAAATAATAATTGGTATAAACTGTTATATTTCATTTTATGCATTTATACCTATTTGTTGCCGACAACAACAGCTTGATGGCAACAACAACCTTTTTACAACAACATCCCTACAGCAGCCCATCCAAATTTCCGAACATTTCCAAGCAAATTGCCCGTTTCCCAAATTGGGGTAACAGGCGAACAGAAATCAGCAGCAAGCAGCTAAAAACTGGTATAAAGTGTTATAAAATGTCCAAGTTCCAAACCATTTAGGAGCCGGCGCAAGTTAGCGGAGACTCAAACCTTTTGAATCCAAATTTAGTCGTTATTTTACAACTGCACCTGGGCACACTGAAACTGATGGTCGTTAAATTCAAATTCAAATTTGGCAGTTAAATTCAAATTCAAATTTGGCAGTTAAAATATTTTAAAAAAAATTCTTTAGTTCTAAAAAAATTCTTAAATAAATATATAACATCTAAAAAATGTTAAAAATTCAGAAAAAAAAAATTTTTAATTCAGAAAAATTTCTTAAATTATAACAATTTTTTAAAAATTTAGAAGAATTGTAAAACATCCGAAAAAAATGTTTAAAATTCAGAAAACAAATTTAAAAATTTAGATTTTGCTTTCAAAATAATTAGATTTTTCCCCAAACGATCCCAAATAAATGCCGCCTTCACAAAAAAATTGCACATTGATTTCACCATCTTTTATTGATTCATATTTGTGTGTTCCATCAATTACATTTACATATTTAAATTGCATTTATAAATATTTTAATTATTTACGCCTGCTGCAGAGTTTTAACTAGCCCGGAGCCCAGATCCGATGACCGTCCTCCACTGCCATCGTGTTGAGATCTGACATTCCATTGAATTTCATGCGTTTTTGGCTGAGTTATAAATGTTCAAAAATGTTTATTCCCCCCAAAATGATCACAATAAATGGCACCAATTTTTTTCTTCCAATTTTTCTTTAAAAATTTTGTAAAAATTTTGCGTAAATATTAAGGCAAAACGGAGAAAGAACAGCTTTCCGAATTGAATTTCGCGTTTTGGCTGAGTTATGAATCTTTGAAAATTAGCTTTTTGCTCATTTTTGTTAAAAAAATTATATAAAAATTACAAGTAAGTATTTCAATAAAACTGAGTAAGCAGTTTTGTTAAGCTTAGAAAAACTTACTTAGAACAGCTTTCCGAATTAAATGTCTATACATTTACCGATCGCTTCTATGGCAGCTATACGATACAGTTGGCCGATTTTCATAAAATGTATACCAAAATTCTAAAATAATAACAAAAGCTGATATCTCAGAGTAGATGAAAACACGTTGAAAAACAACGAAGTTATAATTTTTTTCTATAAATTTACAGATCGTTCCTATGGCAGCTATAAGATATAGTCGCCTGACTTTCATAAAATTAAAAACAAAATTCTGAAATATTATAAATTTGTCATATCTCAAAAATGGTGCAAAAATGTTGAAAAACAGCCAAGTAATAATTTTTGTTCTCAAAATTTATCGAACAATTGCATGGTAGTTATATGATATAGTCGTCCGATCCGGCCCGTCCAGATATATATAGCAGTGAGAGTATATAGAAGACTATATGCCAAGTTTCATATAAATAGCTTTAAAACTGAGGGACTAGAAACAGACAGACGGACAGACGGACATGGCTAGATCGACTTGGCTGTTGATGCTGATCAAGAATATTTATTTATTTGTACGATGTATGCTTAATTCTAAATTAAGCTACAGGATGGATCCCAGCCATAGCTGCTGTGGCTTTCGGCTAGATGATCAAGAATATATATACTTTATAGGGTGGGAAAGGTCTCCTTCACTGCGTTGCAAACTTCTGACTGAAATTATAATACCCTGCAAGGGTTTAATAAGCGCAGTACCAATATTTAATACCCCTGATAGTATGCATCAAAAATGTGCAAGAGTTGCCCAATTATCTAGTCTTAAAATGGTGCATCTTTTGGTCTGACTTAATAGACAACAGATGAAATCACCAATTAATGGCATACTTGCGCTTGGTTCAGGGCACAGTTTGTAATGATCTGAAGTTTCTTTTTATTTATAAAGCCCCAGAAGAGGAAGCCTCAACCAAGCGCAATAAGTATCTTGCCTCCATTTGGGAACATTTTTGAGTGGTGCATCCTTAAAAGGTTTCTTGAGACTAGTGGTGTCAAAAAATCAATCCAAAAGTTCAGCTTCAGACTTAGTCGCGGTACACCAGAGCAACTTCACCGGGTTATTAACTTTGTTCTTGATGGATTCCATGAAAAGGAGTATGTAGTAGGCGCCTATATAGACATCTAGTAGACTTTTGGCAGAGTGCGGCATGCAGGTCTTCTGCATAAGTTTAAAAGTTGAGCCCTCGGCTGACGACATGCCGTTTTTGAACTCTAGCTTGTTAGTTGCAACTTTTGTAGATGACACTGCTGCTTTGACGATGAGTACATCTATACTGCTATCGACAAGCTCATGATTTGGCTTAAAAAAATTGAGAATTGTGCCAGCCGTTCGATCATAGCAATAAACCCGGACAAATGTGTGTTAGTTACATGCATCCTGCGTCAAGGTACCTCTCCGGTCGTATTCTATGCCAGACTGTTGCCCAGAAGTATCTTGGAATAACCGTTGACAAGCGGCTCACATTCTAACGCCACATATCTTGCGTTCTTAAGCGGATCAAAGCTAAGGCAGGCAGTTTAGCTTGCCTGATAAACCCAAGGAATAAGCTTCCCCTTGAATTTTTGCTGTTTCTGAAGAGTTACCCATATTTTAAAATTATATTTATTATATTAGACATGGTTGAAAATCGGTTAAAATAATACAAAATACAATAACTCTGCCGTTTTCCATCTGCTCTGAGATGTTTATTTTTAATGAACAAACCATTAGTAAAAGTAGCAGAAAAGGTAAAACTGTAAATACATAATGAAAGGTGGCACTGCTTTGGTGTTTATAGATGTAGCTCTCATGCTAGTTTTTTTTTTATTTAACCGAAATGGATCGATTCTCAATGATCCAATTATGTACTGCAGGGGTATATAAACTTCGGTGTAACTTTTCTGTTCAAATTAGAGAAACTTCCCCAAGGAAGTTAGGTTCAGGTAAAGAACAAACATCAGGCAGCTCTATTCGTAACCCAACAAAGGTTGACATTGACAGGTAAGAATTCTGCAAAGGCCATAAAGCAGAGGAACGAGATTTTACACTCGCGGTTCGACTGCACTTTGTCACAGACTGTACTTTTTAGCCGGTCTTCGGTGAGGTTTAACTCAAACCCTAAAGTTTTTCCATTAGGAGATGCAGAACAATATGATTTGGTTTTTCATATACTATTAATTGAGTCAGGTAAACCATAAGGAGCTGTACTTGTACAAAGGATCTCTTCAGCTGCTTTGGGAGTAAAAATACCACAAACTATTATTTGAATGCCTCTGTGGAAGACGTATTTATGGCTACGAATCCTGATCGGATGAATCTTTCTTCTTGAATTCAAACTAACAAGATATGTTCACTTCCTTCTATACCTTGTCTTGTGGGCTTGTATATATTTGCATAATTTCTTTTTTTAATTCTTTACAACTAAAACTTATTGCTCTGCTATTCTAACAGTTTCTTTTTCGATTTGGGCGTGGATATGGTTCGCAAGGACACCCGCCGCGGTGTCTTATTATTAGGCGTGGACGGCTTGGACTCAGTCGCCTTCGCCGGAGTTCGGGCCGCCTCCTCCTGTGTGTCCTCGTAGACCAGACGAATGTCCTCTGTCCGCTCGCAAGTCGCCTCACTGGCTGCAAGGACGGCTGCCGTCTTCGTTTGAGGTTCCTCCTTGGCCTCCGACAACGGCTCTTGGGAATTCTTCTTTGCCTCCGGCAGGGGACTAATGCCCTCATCAAGGGGCCAGGCATCCATGGCCTCCTCAACGGGACCCATCGGAGAGTTGACAGGCATTTCGACGAGAACGCGGGGAGTTCGCCTCACGGCAATGGGCGTTGCATGCTTGGTGGCGGGTTGGCTCTTGGGGGTAAGGTTGAAGGAGCTGCTGGCGCTGCTCGGAGTACGCGGCTGGCGACGTACTTGAATGGGCGTTGCTGGCCGGCGGCTTTTCTTCTCGGGAGACTCGAACTTTTCATCGGAGCTGATGATCTCCTTATCGAGCACGGCGACAACGCCAAGAGCTGGCTCGGTCTCCGTGCTAATCTTGCGCTTTATAGGCAGAGGTGATCCACCTGCCACTGCTTTCTCTTCCTTGCAAATGGATGTGGGCTCCCGAGCCTGTGCAGGGGCGTCTGTGCCATTTTTGGGCTTGGTAACTCCATCTTCTGGCTTACGCGGAGATCGACGAATGGCGATCGGCGTCGGCGTGGGCGTCACCTTGCGTGGTGAACGCCTGAAGGCAATGGGTGTGGGTTTATTGTCGGCGGCTTTCGCCTTTATTTTGGGGCTGTTCGAACTGGACGAACTGGCGCTCTGCATCGAGGAATCGTTGTCGGCATCCACATCGGTCTCGCCGCCCTCCTCTTTGAGCTCGGAACCGGCCGTCTTGTTTATTTTATTCGACTTGGTCTTCTCCTGCAGGGGCTTCCTGGGAACTTCCACCTCGTCCGACGAAGCTTTCCGGGTTTTCTGCTTCTTTTTCCTTGGCGGCGGCGGCACATTCTCCGACGATTTGAGAGCAGCGCTCAGCACTGCGTCCATATCCTCGTAGCGCTCGCCCAGCTCTTGTGGCTCAAAGGTGAGCAGCGAACAGAAGCCATCCGTGCTGGACACGATCAGCACGGTGCCGTCGCTGGACCACGCCAGATCCGTTAGCCTGGTGTAGTGGATGTTCGAAACGATGGCAAAGGGCACCGCCTGCTGGGTGTCGTAGAGAAGCACCGAATTCTTGGTGGCCACGGCGTAGATCATCCGGTAGGGCAGCGCAATGATAGGCGGGTTCTTTTCCTCATTGTACGGTCTCAGACGGTACAGCACCGGAGAGCAGCGCACGGCCACCGTGTACTCGTTGGGAAAGGGCAGCACAAACGCAGGGCGCGAAAGGTCATACCGGCTGAATCCATAGGTGGTGTTCATCGGCTTCAACACGCCGTCGTAGTCGGTGATTCCAGCGGGTGTAAGGAGCAGCTTGCCGTCGGGAGTGAAGCACAAGCGGCGGAAGAAGGTCTGCAAGGTGCCATCGTGATACAGCCGGATGCTCCTCTCGTGCAACTCGTGACCCTCCTTCACGGGAAACTCACACTTGCTCACCCGATGGAGCACTCGCTTGGTAGTCGTGTCGAAGATGCGCATTTGCCTGGAAGAGAATAGCAGCGGTTTGAGGTCTTTCCTTGACTCGGAACCGAAAGTGACGACACTCACCTATCCGTGCTCATGGTGGCTATATACTGATTGCACGGATCCCAGGCAACGCCTTGCACATAGCCCTTGTGGTCGTCAAGAATGGCCAAGGACTTTCCCTTGTGCACGTCCCACAACATCGCCGTATTGTCCACAGAGCCCGTGACCAGGAACTGCGAGTTGGGCGCCCAACTCAGATCGTAGATATCCTCGCGATGACCGCGCAACACCTTCAGCGTTATCCAGACCTCCTTGTCCTGCTCACTGTTCCCATCGGCGGCGTCCACAATGTTGATCACTTCGTGGTCGGCCTTCTGCTTCCAGATAAACACAACACTCTCGTCGTCGCCCGAGGCGAGCAGCTCCCCATTCGGTGACCACCGGACTGTGTTGACGGCCCGCTGGTGCCGCGACAGATCGGTGGCCAGCTCCAGGTCCACGCCCTCGCCGTCGTCGCTGGTGCGGTTCACATACCAAATGAGGACATGGGCATCGGTGCCCCCCGAGGCCAGGCGACAGATCGTCGGCGAACGGAGCCCTTGGCCATTCGGCTGGATGTCCACACTGAGCACGGGGTCGCGGTTGTGCCACGAAATTTCCGGTATCTTGCACTTCATCCTACTAACTAACTTAGCTACGTTTTAACTGGCAATAATTAACAGCGAAAAAAAATTATGCGGCAGAATTCGCGCCTAAAAGATGTAGTGTGGCCGTAGGTCACAGAAATACCCAATATCGGGCTATCGATAAACAGTGCGATCCCGTATCGTATCGGTGCCAGGAGGTTTTGGCGATGTTTTCGCATTGTCATCTCTAATAAACTCCGAAAATGGTAAACAAAAGTTGGTAATCCTGTTGAAGCCGGTTTTAATTGAATTTATGGTTTATTTTTCAGTCTGTAACGCTGCACACCGACGTGGGCGACCTCAAGATAGAGCTCTTCTGCGATGCCTGTCCCAAGGCCTGCGAGAACTTCCTGGCGCTTTGCGCTAGCGATTACTACAGCGGCTGTGTCTTTATCCGGAACATAAAGGGGTTTATAGTTCAAACCGGCGATCCGACCAACACGGGCAAGAATGGACAGTCTATTTGGGGCCAGAAGTTCGACGACGAGTTCAAGGAAACGGTCAAGGTGAGACACATCTAAGCACTCCTGGCCAGCCTTTGGTGGTGGTAATTTCATTAAAAACCAAAACTGGTGGCCACGTTAAGTGATTGCCAAGAGCGATAACAGTAACTTCCCACTACTTTTCAACTACGAAAACCCGACTCCGAAACACTCCGAATATTCAAACACAACTTTTTGTATACGTTTTCCAGCACACGGATCGTGGTATGGTTTCCATGGCCAACAACGGACCCAATGCGAATGCCAGCCAGTTCTTCATCACGTATGCCGCCCAACCAAACTTGGACCTGAAGTACACGCTCTTTGGACGCGTGATCGATGGCTTCGATGCCCTGGATGAGCTGGAGAAGCTGCCCGTGAATCCAAAGAACTACCGACCCCATGTGGACAAAAAGATCAACGGCGTGACCATACACGCCAATCCCCTGGCGACGTGATAGACATTTCAAAAACTAGAACGTATTGCTTACAAGGAAATATATATTTATAGCACTTAAAACTTACGACGCCTTTCTTCGATTACGAACTAACTGATTGAGAAACATCAAATATTGTGCAAAAGTACATGTGTATCTAACGACTAAATCTTAAAATCAGCCAAGTGTCACAATTGTTTATAAAAAATTGCATTGTTCTCTCCGTACATGTAACTCTCTCAACGACTTTTGCACTTAATTTGGACTTAAACTAGACGGATGTATAGATGTGTTTAACTTTAAAACGATCAACTACAGAGGATAAAACAAATGCTAACAAGAATCTCTCGACTACATGGACTATGCAAGTGGATTATTTGGAGGCGGTGCCGTTTGTGAGTGGCTTGGCGGGCTTCGGGTGGTCCTTCATGTGCTTCTCGAACATGCTGCGGATGTCGGCCAGGGCCTGCGAGATGTTTCCCGCAAAGCGATGCACATCCTGCAGGGATATAAGTTAAGATAAGTCTTGAGATTATAGTACTATAGCTAGTACTCACCGTTTGCTGGCACGTGGTCTTCGCTGAGATATGGAAGAATATCAGATTCTCGCCGGCTATAATGTAGGACACACCATAACCGTCGTCGGCCACGGGACCGAAGCCGCCGCCGGCACTGATGCAGTTCGGATGCTTCTTGAGGTCCATCTTCGGCGTTTGGCCGTGCGGTGTCTGACTAGTGGACAGGCGCCAGGGCTCGCTGAGAACCTCGTTGAGGAAGGGTGAGTCCACCTCCAGGTACTTGGAGACGACATACAGGCAGAACAGATGCCGGTCGATGCCCCGACCGCACATGGCATCCTGGTAGCCCAACTGATGCCGGTCGGCGGCATCTTGCATCATCTTCACGCGCTCATCGTTCTGTTTTGGGAATAAAGAGGTTATTTAGGGATCTCCAGGAAATCTTAACAGTCACAGCTTACGGTTGTGTTGGGATTCTGCATGGCCTTCACCCAAGCGGCCGATTCGATGGTGCAAGGACGCACTGTCTCGGTTCTGCCTTCGCGGAACAGGCGCGTCATTGAGGCCTCATAGGTGAGCGAGAAGCGCCCGGCATCCCGGTAGTAGGCCAACTGCAGGGCCATTTGAATGTAGGCATCCGGCGAGATGCGACACTTCTTCATGAAGCCCTTGCCGTACTCCTGGTGCACCAGGATGCGCAGGTTCACCTCATTGATCAGTTTCGTTACATCGATGGTGGCCTCCTCGATTTGGGTGAGACAGGGCGTCAGATCCCAGCTGAGGCGGGTGGGCGTGGGTGGCTGGAACTCGGGGGTTCCCTTGGTGTTGCCAGTCTCATCATATCTAAAGGATCACCGAAATGTTAGTTTAATCTCTGGGTAAGCCTTATTTTAGAAGTCATTAGATTGCAAGCCACGTAAACCAAAAACATTATTTTTGTTAATTTTGTGGAAAATAGGTTGGGTTAGTCACGAAATAAAAATTAACATTTAATTTGTGTTTTGTTGCCTTTTTGGGTTGAGCCGAGAGAGGTAGCCGTAAATATCCATTGCATGTCTCAGTAGAACAACTTAGAACTCGAATTTAAGCTTTTTGTATACTTTTTTTGGCACTTGAAATAGAAATTAAACTCATTTAAACCTAGAATCTATGCCAAAAACTCTCTAAGAGATACAAAACTTACGTGTAAAGATGTTTCTAAGAAAGCATTTACATTTAACCATAGCTCTCAAATAACTGTTGACCGATTTGTGCAGTCGCAAAATGAGTTTTTGTTTCTCAGATTTTGAGTAATAAGTCTGAGAGCAACCGAATGAATTTTGCTCGCGCTCTGCCGACGTTCAGATTTCTTCGGTTCTCAGTCATTTACAGACCGTTTGCTCTTGTCTGACGATTCAAAAAGTCTTTTGCTCATGTATGTTTGTATAAGTAGTTTCATGTGAATTGAGCTACAATTGGATCGTACCACTGTACTCCAAAAAGAAAGAAATGTATTGAATAGACCGTTTGAGTTTACTTTTTCAGTCAATCGGTCTTTTAATAAGTTTCCTTATTACAAAGTCTTCTGCTCAAAGAGAGAACGAGGATATGTTTTTTTATGGTTCTTCTCGCGGGCAAAACGTAAGGAAACGGTTAACAGTTATTTGCAAGCTATGCATTTAACATTTCCTTTTTTTTCTCTGAATAATTCACTTAATATGTATATTTTTAGAAGCTTTAACGCTTTTCAAACCTCTCAATCGTGCTCGACCCAAAACGACTTAAATTGTTTTTAGCTTTGCTTTGTGCTTGTGTGTGCTTGTTGTGCTTTGGAATTATGTGTTTACCCATAAATATCATCACCAAATATATACTCCCAAAGATGTCCCAAAACCGGTGCATCGGCCCTATAAAAAAGGTGTAAATAATGGTGTAAGATAATTTGTTAGGCCACTACCAGAGTTAAAATAATTATTTGTTTGTGGAATGGCGTCCACAATGGGACGCTAATGGGTGTGAACTGAAAACTGAAAACTGATAACCGACAAAAATTGTAAGCTTTGGTCATAGGAGAATTGAAATCATCATTACCCCTCCGACACAAGATCGTCGACGATCAGGTTCTCCCACATGTGTGAGGCGATGGCGGCGTCGGACCTTTTGGATTTTCAATTTGGCAAATCGTTTCAGAAATTTAAGTTTATAGCGAATATTAAGGTTTTCTCAATTGAATGAAGAAAGGTGTGTGTTGGGAGCAGGACTCGTTTTCCACTTACCACGTGTGCTCGGCATTGAAGCCAACACGTCCGTTGGTGCCCACGCAGACGGTGAAGCACTTGTCGAACCAGCGGTTGTAGCCATTGCCATGGAGCAGCTTCTTGCCAAAGTTGTCCAGCAGCTCGGGACGGGCCAGATCGAACTCGAAGGGTTCGTCATCCAAGGAGAGGACGAAGGCGGCGGACTCAATGGTACGCAGGGAGACATGATTGGCGCCCCTCGAGAAGAAGGTGTTGCGGGCCTCCGCCCACTTGGAGCGATTCCAGGCGGTCAAAGCAGCCAAATGCTCTTCGCCATCCACAGGAGTGGCCTTCGCCTTCAGAATTTCCTCGATTTGACTGTGGAAACAATTATTAACTTTTAAACTTAACAATAGTTAGGGAGTCACACTCACACTTGAAGCTCGCAAGGACGCAGGATGCGACCCTTGTAGTAGATGGGCATCTTGTAGTAGCAGCCCTTGTGCAGCACCACAATGTGGTTGGAGTCTCGGTAGTGGATAATGCGATCAGTTTCCAGGCCGGGAATACGGGCCGTGTTGAAGGTACGCTCATACTGCCAGGAGCACAGAGGAATCATTCCCTGGACCATGATCTAACAGTGGAGTCAATCAAAAGGTCAGTAAAGAATAGATTTGAATAATACTACAACTTACAGGCTGCAGTTCCTGGTGCTCGATCAACCGGCGGAAGTTCAGCAGCAGGGAGATCACATTGGCCGCTCGCGCCGCCTGCTTATCGGTGAGGTTCATGAAGATGGCGTCCGTACCGTAAAAGTTGCTGTTCACGCACAGGGGGCTGCGACCGCGCAGATACACATACTCCTCCCACCAATCGGACACGTAGTTAGTGGACCACCAGCTCTTAAGGATGAGATACCACTGCAGCTTCTTGCCGATGGTCTGCTCGAATTCCTTGGCCAGTCGCTCCATGCGCGTGTAATTGTCATCGTCCAGCAGGGGACGAACACTGCGCAGGTACCGGGTCATCGTGTCGCTGACAGAGGGCAATGGAAGACGGGGCAGCGATCCCTGGAAGCTGTACAGGCCGGGCTTGTTCCAGCTGGACAGTACTCGCACCACGGCAACCCAGAGCATGGTGGGCAGGGAGACACGACTACCGGGAGCTCTCGACTCGTACATCCAGCCCTTGTACATGAGCAGTAGCTTGAGAGTATATCTCATGGTGAAGCAGATCGAGAGCCAGATCACTAGGGCGGCCGCGAAGCAGGCAGCCACTTGCCAGTTGATTGTGTTGGAGGGCAGATGGACCAGAATTCGGTTGGTTAGATTAAATGGGGCCTGGTAGCCGGCAAAGTGCAGGCCCAGCGCTATGGCCGATATCAGCCAGAGGCTCTGAATGTGCGCCGGATAGACGCCATTGCGTACTCCGTTCTG